GAAAGCAAGCACGTAGCACCCTGAAACTCTGCCTCAACCGCACTGAGGTCAAAGAGTAGGAGCAGAGGTTATATGTCTATCACAGATGTGACAGAGTAGCAAACAAAATCTCATGGTTATCTTATACATTCTGAATACAGAACTGCAACAGTTGTTCTCTGCGCTTGTGTGCAGTAATGTAATGACTGATTTTTAGGAATGAGAACACATATGCTCATGCAAACCTATGACTAACCATTTGAGTCTTCTTTCTGGCCAGTGAAGTGGGTTTCTTCACCAAGGGGACACTGCTGAATATTAAATCCCAGGAGTCCTATCTGTGGCTCTGCTGAGAGGTAAACTGAAGTCTTTGTGCTGTTTCTGCCGCTCACACGAGACTCCTCTGCAACCTCCAAATGACTGTTTGACCACAGAGCTGACAGTAGTTGCATCACTTCTCTTTTAAATGCTCCGTCCACACATTATGAGTTATAACGTATATAGAAAAGACTCTGATAATGGACGTGTGGATTTGGAAGTGTTTTGCTACGGGTACTTCAGCAAGGCTCAATAAACACGGCCCTAATCTGCAGGAAGCCGCAAAAGTCATGATTCCCTCCTCCCCAACCATGTGGGCCCCCCTCTCCCTTTACTATCCACTAACACTCTTCCCCTCTGTGGAGCAGAGGACAGTGAACACAGCAGACACCCAATACTAATACTCAAGCATGGTAACCAGAACACAGACCGGTGCAGAAGTGGACCATGGGAACAGTCTTTTCAGGCCTGACTGTAAAAATAAAGGTAACTCTATCCTCCTGTGAGAGACGTGTCAGTAGAGGGGTGGAGCGATGAAATGTTGTGAAAGCATAATAAAGACAACTCTGTGAGGACAAATATATTAATATGTAGGCCTGTGTAAAAATGCAACACAGCAATGGAAGTTAAACCACAAATTAAATTCTCAAATGATCACACGCTTAGATTTCATCAGTGACATACGAGGCCTAATGTTTCCTTTGTGTGAGAGTAGGTGAATGACCAGAAAACAGACGGCGGTTCCGACTTTATTCCTGCACAGTGAGGAGATCAAATGCAAAAAGAATTTGAGTTCTTTTGTGCCTGAAAAAAAAAAGAAAAAAACTGCAAGATGGTCTAGAGATAAGCAGTAAGATAACACTGCAGGTCTCAGGGGGGTGAATGCAGGATGGACGGATTTCTTCTAAACCTGTGAACAGCAGAGACATGTGGCACAGGCAGCACTTAAGCCCAGTGTTTTGAGTGCAGAGAGAGATAAGCCGGCCTGTCTCCAGGCAGCACTTGTGCTGCTCGGTGTTGAGAGAGGCAACCAAATCTCTGCTGCCACAAACATTGTCTGTAGCTATCAATTAACTACAGGCACAGAGCCCCAGATTATAGCTTTAAATGATTTTAACAAAGCAGTAGATAGTAGTTTGGTTTATCAACATTTCTCATAGCAGGTCTTGTTTATGAACTTATCACATTTTTCATTGTGTGACATACTCCTTTCATGCATGCTGATTTAAGTGCAAATACAGCACAGTCATTGCAGTCTAAGCATACAGAGGATGTCACAAGTATACATCTTGTCATGTTGCACAGAAAAGCAAAATTAACATGTTTCCATGTGAAAATTCACAGAGCTAAAAATACACAACAGACTTTGGTCGGCGCATCTGCTGTGAAAAGGAGAACGGTTTTCACAGAAGAGGCTTTTTTATTTTGAGGAGGAAGTGACAAGAGAACTTTCCTTAAATTCGCTTTCTATGTGTCTCCTCAGTTTGGAATCGAAACATTTTGTCATCGTGTCTCCTGTCTGAATGAATTAATAACATAAAAAATATAATAATGGCTCATTACATAAAAACATTTAATACCACCCGGAGGCGTGATGGGGCCTACAGTGATTTCCATTATTTTATACATTACACATTGACAGCTGCATCTGTGGTTCAGTTTTACAGGCCTACACTATAGATTTGTAGACAAACAAGGGATGGGAAGTCCCCGCATCTCAGAGAACACAGAACAGAGCCTGAGAACAGTTGGAGTTTACTGTTAATGACTTCCCCAGTGTAATCCTGCGTCTAAAAGTAGGAACGTAGAATATTTAGCTGCTCTTCGAAGCTTTGCCTTTTTTGGATCTTGAGCTCTCTGATAAAAGATCTTCCAAGATGAGCACCACAAGCGATGAATGAATGATCATCTTTGCTGGTCTGAAATGCTGCCTACAGTACTTTCTGTTGCCCCTCTCATCTCAAAGTCTGACTTTGAGCTGTTTCACTGTCCCACTTCTGGTAAGTTCAAGACTAGGTCAGGTGACCACAGCCTGCCTGAATGCTCCTTGTAAGTGTGTCAGTTTTGCAGCCTGTCAGGTATAAAGGTAAAAAAAAATCATAAAGCCTCTGAAGAATGCTTTGACATTGTGCTAGATATGCAAGGTATAATCCAGCGAGATATAACAAGCTAATTGGTGGTAGAGTTGCTGGTAGGCAGCTTTTGTTACTATTGGACAGAGCATGGCTAGCTGTTTCTCCCTGTTTTCAGTCTCTGTGCTAAGCTAAGCTAACAGTTTCCTGGCTGTATCTTTGTACAGCACTGTGCACAAAGTTTTAGGCATTAAAAGTAATATCAAAAATAATGTCATGATTAGTCTTTATTCATCAATTACCTTCATGCAAAGTGCAGCAAACAGAAAAAACCTAAATAAAATCGATACCTGGTGTGACCACCCTTTGCATCAGTTCTACTTGCTCATCGTTTTTCTAGGTATTTGGCAGGAAGCTTGTTCCAAGCATCTCAGAGAACTTGATGTTCTTCTTCTTCTATGGATTTAGTCTGTCTCTGTGTCTTAGTTCTTTATGGCTGTACATTCAGGGTTGTTGTCATGCTGCAGAATGAATTTGTGTTGATCCGATGACTCCCTGATAGTACAGTGTGAAGGATACGAATCTAAGTGCCTAAAACCTTTGCACAGTGCTGTATTTAACAGGCAGACATGGAAAGTGGTATTGATCATCTTGCTGCAAGAAAGCTCTTAAGCATATCTCACAAAATGTCTAATTATTGCTGTATCATTGCTTCTTGTTACTCTAGAAAACAAATTTCTGAAATGCCATGTCCTATCCAGTCAGGAGGATAAAATGCAAATCACTGAAAACAATGATACAAGCAAAATTCACTCCGTTGAAGTTTTGGCAACACAGCAGAGTTTATTCTTAGGTGCGTTTTGGGCCACACATCCACCAGCACATGATGTGCGAGGGGGGTGGGGGTGGGGGGTTGCGCAGGAGGTTGCTAATAACAGCTGCCAGATGTGCAGAGTCCCCGGAGTCCATGCACATTCTCACAGACAATGGAATGCTTGTGAGGAGCCCCAACAGGAAGTGAGGTCAGGGCTCTTGACCCCTCCCCTAAAAGCTCAGTGAGAGACACAGCAGAGGGGCAGCTTTACTGGGGCAGCTCCTGAGAAGTGTCCCATCATAAACCTGCTGACAGTGAGGAGTGAGTCCATAAAGCCTGTCTGCCACACATCCATTAAAAACTGCTCATCCAACCTGCCAGCATTTTACAGAAAGTAAGAAGTTGTCTCCTGAGACGGCAGGTTGAAAGATTTTGGCATTTCCAACAGAAGTATTGCAAATTCAAGGAGTTGTTCTTCTTTTTCAGTGAGTAATTTCTACATAGCAGTCACTGCGGGGGCGGCAGGGATGAGTGTGGTTAGAGTGGAATTGCACAATCTCGATCCTTTCTCCCCCCAGTAAACCATCAGCAGACACGACATGAGTCAAAGTTGCTGAAACTGTTTGGTAGAGACCAGACAAACACAAGACTGATTTCATGTTCAGCAGTGAGGTGCCTTCCCTGCGTAGACTAAATGCTCTGATGTCATTCACCCAGGTAGGACTCACATCAAAAGCTTTGATGTCTGAGTCTGGAGTAACTTCCTCTTTCTAAATTGTTTACTGTGGACATTTGAAGTGAAAAAACACCTAAAGGCTAATATCTGAATCATCACTCAACAAAATGTTCTCATTTCCCTTAACCAAGTTCTTTCATTTTCCATTTTTCTTTGCATCATTTCATAATCTCAGGCAGTCAGGTTTTTGAAAAGACAAAACCTGGGCTTGGTACATTTCAGAAATCTTAATGCTACACCCACAGTTTCTGATTCGATCCCAAATTTCTTTAACAGAAGCCGAGGAGGCTCCAGATGTTTTGTATGATAACTCATTTAACAACACAATGCAGCGCCTTCTTCTTATCACAGACACATGACATCATAGCCACTTGGGATGACTTTGGCTTTCAGTGTAATGACTGTGGAGAGATTATTACCTCCTCTTGGGTTGGACAGAGGCTCTTTCACTGCAGCCAGCACCTGCCCCTCTGTATGTTTATGCGCAGCAGTGGTGACTAACAAGCCCTGACTTACCTTCACCTCATCTTTATGACACCTGTACTCACGCAGACCTGGGGGATACACATGAAGATGACAACAATAACTCATGAGAAACAACAAATATAAAAAATAATGTGATGTGATAATGTGAAACACCAGTGATTATTTGCCATGCTCCTTTAACACTAGCCTATATGAATTCCATTGCATTGTAATAGAGCTACATTCATTTGCAGCCACTGATCCCAAGGGAGAATGAGCCAGGGTGAGTTGAAAAGTGTGGACTCTGGTTCATGCTGGGATTCGTTAGGAAAGAGGAAGTGAGGAGGTGGAACATCTGGACTTCATTTGTGTGCTCCGGAGTGGGGGAAAAGCTCCAGAAATAGGCCTAACAACTATTTTCCATATTAATTGCTGTCCGAATCATATTAATAAGTCCACACACTCCTTTAAGAGCATATGACGTTTTCATACCGCCTGTCTCTCTGTCTCTCTCTCGCTCTCCCTTGCGCGCGCGTGCCTGTGTGTGTGTGTGTGTCTGTGTGTGAGAGTGTGTGTGTGTGTGTGTGTCAGACCGCGTATTGTGTCAGTACGCGTATTGTGCTCCCACTGCTGTGTGCTCCCAGAGAGCAGAGGGACGATCAGACGGACTGGTGGATTAGAGCGACAAAGGGGAAAGTGTGGTCTCTGCTCTCATTCATTTCTCGTCATATACATTTTTGTTTTGTTTTGTTTTTTTTGGGGGGGGGGGTCGCCGCGCGCTCGGGGATCTTCCGTTGTGGCGCACAGACCGGGTATGGATTTACCACTGACTAGACAAGACACGCCGCCGCCGCCGCCGCCGCCGCCGAGCCCTGTACGAAAGTTTTGATTGTCATCGTTGCTTCTCGACCCGGGAGCAGCAGAGGAGGAGAGCGCTGAACTTTTGTCGCCAGCTTTTGTAGAGACTGGTGACCACATGTGAGGACGTTTGGAGACAAATATTTTCTGTCGGAGCGTCTTTTCGCTGCTCTCTACTACTACTGCTGCTGCTACTACTACTACTACTGTATCTCTCATGGGGTGAGTAGCCGTCTTAAAGTGTGGTTGGTGTGACAGTCTGCGCTGCAGCAGCCTAACAAAAGGATCCGATGTGTCTCTCGCGCTGCAGAGTTCAGTCTCAACAGTAAATGGGAGTTGGGTTATTGGGAAAGAGAATCTTTACTGGCATACTATACGAGGTTCCCCCTCCTGACCATCAACATCATCAACGACCAGATAGGCGTGTTGGAAAAGATATGAAAGTTGGGACTGACGCACAAAGTCTCGAAATGTGTCTTTGACTCACTCAACACCTTTTGACAGCAGCAGCGTGGCCAGTACAGGATGAAGCAACACGCCACTGCACTTTTACTAACCACCGAGCAGAGACACCGCTGCTGCACCCACGGAGAGGGTTTGGATGTTCCGTGTGACAGCTGCGTTTGTTATAACAATGCGTGGGTGTGTGTGTTTTAATGAATAATATTGTGCGGTGTTAAATATTAACACGTGGGCTCCACGGCTGTCGATCATACAGGGAGGGTGAATTATAGTCTGTGTAGCTGTTATTGTTGTTGTTGTTGTTGATGTTTGGGGCTGAGGTGAGTAGCGTGTGCTCCAGGCGCGTCCTCGCACACACACACACACACACACACGCACACACGCACACACGCACACACGCACACACACACACACACACACACACACACACACACACACAGGTCCTTGGAGCCGTTGCGCAGCCTGCTGTGCCCGCCCCCCCCCCTTCCCTCTTCGCGCTGTGACCCCTACGATGTTGTTGAGGCTTGTTCATCCGTCACTCTAAAGAAGCCATTGTATTGAAAGGATGTATTAATAAGACAAAAGCCCCCATTATCCCCAATGTACCGGAGTTAAGCTCATGTGGTTGGAGATGTGCTCTCTATAGGAAGGCAGCACAGAGCTTCAGCAACGACTTAACACAGTGTATTGTTGTCAGAGATTTAAAATGAGTGAAAGATAACAATATACATTTGAATACACTGTCACAGTGACATACATTAGTATTACAGGCTGGTGGATTTTAGTTGTGGCTACGTTGGTGTACAATTCCAAGTTGTTTTAAACATTTGCAGACTTGTGTCTGTGCCATCTCTTGGAAACCTAGTAGTTACATTTCCTTATCAGCACTCTAAGGCCATGCTATCTAAACAGCAGATTGATTGTGTCCAGTAGAGTTAACCCTGCAGAGAGGGATGCATAAGTGTCAGCAGCCCAGTCATGAGGCATCCTGTTGCGAGAGAATCCTCAAATCACAGTGAGATAAGATGATAAGGTGGAGGAACTAATGTTTATTGCCCAGATAAAAGCTCCCGTCCATCATCCTCTCTCTCCTGTGGTGGGTCATGCTCAGTCTGCACGGTGTGTTGCTCATTAGCTTGCACCACACCATGACAAGCTACGGCTTGCGAAGGGGAAATGCAAAGGCTTGGTGACATTATCTCGAAGCCCAGTTGAGGTTACCAAGCAGAAGCAAAACTCTCAAACGCACATGGATGCAAGCTTGTTGAATTAAGACTGGTAAACATCTTACTGTGATAACATCAGTAGTGGAGGGTGAAGAGGAAGCACGGGCAGTGGTTTTAAGACTATCGAGTGTCGAAGGCTCTGTCAGCAGGTTCATTGATGCTAGGTTTGTGTTAGAGCAGCTTGGTTTGTTTGGGGCATGCACGGTCCCTCACGCACTCAGGTGCTTCTCCCAGCATGCCTTGAACTGGGCAGGAGACAGGGCATGATACGGCCTGCCAACCGTCCGCGTTTAACACATGTGACCACATGGCTCATTACACCAGAACAACACTCACAACCCCACCAGGCCCGACCACTGCCAGGCTTCTTCACACAAGCATTCACATATTCACGATCCTTGGCTTTGGCGAGTGTAACCTCAGGGTGCTGTGAACAGCGACAGCTTATTGGCCAGACACTCCACAGATCAAGGCACACGCAGCCTTTCACAGACAAGGAGCACACATGGTGTTAGTCTTACCAGTCTATATAGAGGAACTTTATAATCTTTTATGGTAGAGAGCAGGGAGACTGGCTCAGTCCAGCAGCCCATGACATCATGAGTTGAGGATCTGTGTGTTGCTGACCCAGCTCACTGTGCACAGTGGCCCTGTTTTCCTCTACACCATGACTGCTGTAATCGGACCCTTCTCAATGGGGACTGCCCAGGATAGCGTGAGAAATGAAGACAAATAGATGAGTTGAATAAATAAATAGATGTATAAATGCATGGATGGATAAATAAATTAATGGTAATTCAGTGGTGGGAACTGGATTTGCAGGGCTTTTTTTTTTTGATGGAGCAGGTCACTAGGGGGTTGAAGGCGGAGATGGGTGGTGGGTGGGTGGTGTCGATCTCTGAAGGATGCTCAGGTTTCAGCTCAGGCCTGGGAGCGATCTGCTAATAGGAAGCAGCGAGAAGGCTTTTCCTTGGGGAGACTGGCTCCTCTTTTGTTGTGTATACTCACCACTTTATTCAGCCGCACTGGAAGGTGAACAACACAGAGAGATCAGAGGAGCGACCTGCCAGAGGCACCCTGGCCTCTACCTGGTTAATAAATGAAACCAGTCAGAGTTTGCATACATAACTTTCATAACTTCTGGGCTTTTCTCTGGGATATTAATAGTGTTCTGCGGACGGCCATCTGGGTTCTACAGGCTCGGAGTTCGAGCTGGTACTCCCCCTTTTGCCTGAAAAACACTTTCCTTGGGTGTGGCAGCTGGAGCAAAATAAACGCCTTCTGTTCGCAAGCTGCCCGAGCGCAAGTCACAACACACAGCTGACAGCATGTAGCTCTCTGATTCACAGCCAAGAGCTGGGAGTGTCTCAGATCAGAGAAATGAATATGGCGTCCTCTGCTTTTTACCCCATTTGTAAACACATTTGAAAAGAAGATGTCACAAGAGGCTGTGTTTGCTCTTTGCTGGCAGGTAGAGAAATATGCATGCACACTTATTCGTCCTATCTGTCTCTCCTTCTCAAAACAACCTCCCTGAGTTTCAAGAAGATGCTGTCAGTGCTGCTCTGATTATTATATAAACATTTACATAAGCTGATATTTGGTGGAGAAGAAAAAAGTGAGTGACTATTTTAGGAAGATGTTTTACCCAGTGAAAGAATCCATTAGCTTTAAAGTCTCCTGTTACATTCCTGTTCCACTTGAGGGACAAACTATAAGACCCCCCATGACCAGGCGCTAATGCTTGTAGCAGCATGCCAGGATTTCCTGATGCTTTCTATAGGGCGGGGATAAGGCTGTTCTCCTGTCACACTTCAAGCTCCGACCAGCCTTTGCTCCGAAATGCTGTCAGTTGGAAGTAATGCAGAAAATGGTTTTCAGAGCTCTGACTGGCATTTTTCATTATGCAACACTGCTCCACAGACATGAACATTACACATCCTTCAGGGACAAAGACAAGCAGATTGAGTACGGGGTTTCTGGTAACTGCCTCCCTCTAGGTTACACCGTTGTGATTTATGTACTGGATGGGAACAACCTCATACTGTCTGTATTTGCGGCAGCCTTAATCAGTGTGGTCATGTCGTGGTTTCCTGATTCCTGATCATTCTCAGCACTCGCTCTGGAGCGACGTTGGAGCAGGTACACATGAAGATGCTGTGGTTTTGGAGTTGGAGACCTCCACCTCCTCCTCCCCCTCTCCTTCCCTCTTGGAAGCCTTTGTTATCCAGTCAGCTTTATTTGTGCAGCTGGAAAACTCAACAGGATTACTTCAACACCCCACCTCCCCAGATCCAGAAGTAAGCTGGAGACAGTTTTCTTGGATTTTGGATTGCCCCCGTGCAGCCAGTGAGAGCCTGTCGAAGAAATTCATTTAGTTTGGAGCTGAAAGTTGGTCTCTCCTCCCGTAAAGCTCTTTCAGTTTTTCTAATGACTGAAAAACTGTGGCCTGTTTTGTTAGAAAGAGCTATTAAGATTGTTTATCTTGTAAAGGCCTCAGCTTCAGTCTCTCCAGGCTTAAAGACACGATGGAATTAACCTCCAGCCAAACACAAGCCGGGTCATGATAGAGGCCAGACTGCTCCATTGCAACAGACAGATTGAGTGGAAGTGGATGTTGTTTACTTTAAACTAATATGACGACTGTTCCAGCATGTCCATTTCAGATGAGCCTCACTTAGGTCAAAGTCAAGTAGCTGTTGTCTCGTGCTACAGCAATGCTCGCTTTCTGACCTGTTTGATATTTTTGCAGAAGATCCCCTGACAATCCACTCTACCCAAACCTTGCATAAGGTTCGGTAAAACTGAGTTATTTACTATAGGGCCATTTCTTTTTTTTCTTTTTTTTTTAAATGTACTTGTGTAATGTTGCCAGGAAAAAAAACAGACATAGTATCCTTCCAAAACTGTGTAACTTTAAATACCCTCGAGTCTCTTTCCAGGCACACATTCACTGGTCTTTAAATGCAGGTTGTAACTGTAAAATATATTTATATATTTTCAGTGTAAGATACAATGTCCTCATGTCAGAGAGGCTGATTGATGTTGACATTACAAGAGTTTTTCAAGAAATAAATTTGCTCCTCAACGCAAGAAATTCTTAAATTATATTAAATACTGAGGAGAAACTGTGGGCTGTGTGGACACAACAATATTCTCTCTCCAGGCAACCGTGTTTTTCTCCAATAACAGAGCTGTGTTTAATGGATCTGTGTTTGCCAGTGGAGTCTGGGGTTGTTTTGCTATGCTGGACCATGAGGAGAGATGGAGGGCCTCCATCAATTCATCATCTTATCAGTGGGCAATCAGGGCGGCTTTGTGCCCCTGTGTGTTAGCCTGTGTAGATGGTATCATTTTTCCCTCGTGCAGCGCTTTGCTTTGTTGTCAGCACCTTCTCCTTTGCTTTGTCTCTGATTCTGGCATGCTGACTTCCTGACTGTCTACGGGTAACGTTCGGTGCACTGAAAATCACTGCAACATCACCGTCACAGCAACCCTCCACGCTACCTATACAGCCAGCACAATGGATATATG